TATATATATATATATATATATATATATATATATATATATGTGTGTGTGTGTGTGTGTGTGTGTGTGTGTGTGTGTGTGTGTGTATGTATATGTATATATATATATATATATATATGGAATAAAGAAAGGTAAAAGGCCCAGAGGAAAATCATACTTAAAATGGAATGGGAAAATTTAAGTTAGAAAAACTGGCTAGAAACAAGCCAAGCTATGACCGGACATTCCTAAGTTTGTTTTGGTTTTGTTTTTTAAAACAGGGTTTCTCTGTGTAACCATCTTGGCTGTCCTGGAACTTGTTTTGTGACCAGGCTGGCCTCAAACTCACTGAGATCTGCCTGCTTCTGTCTCCCAAGTGCTGGGATTAAAGGTGTACACCACCACCACCACCACCACCACCACCACCACCACCACCACAACCCAGCTTTGGACATCCATAAGTAAGAATACGTTTCTATGTATTTATTTGGGAACTGGGTGGCAGGGTTCCAAGAGTTAAAAAAACAACAACAAACAACATGGTGATAATATAGAAACTCAGTATATTCTCTCTCTCTCTCTCTCTCTCTCTCTCTCTCTCTCTCTCACACACACACACACACACACACACACACACACACGCACAGAGAGATATATAATATGTGTTTTCAAGTATGAGGTCTGTTGTATGTGTGTGTTCAGTGAGAGGTAGAAAAAGTAGTGGCTGACATGACAGAATATTTCTATTAGAAATAGACTTTTTGTTATGAGTTCAAGATTGCCAATTAACCTTCATTATTTTATAATTATAATGAAGGTCAGTGGAGAAAGGTTGACTTGGCATATGCAAAGTGAAGATGCTTTGCTCTCAGTGTGTGCCTATATATGTGGATATAAAAACATATCTATAAGCAATTGTATATTATATATGGGGCATAGACCCCAGAGAGATTTTGGCAGTGAGTTAAGGGAAGGTACAGTGTGACAAGAGGCTACAGTCGCCCTTAACTTCTAAATAAAATATAACAGGTTTTCATCTACAACAGTCTGGAGCCATTCACCGTGTTCTGTTTGTGTATCAGTAAATATATTGATCAAGAAATATTGGCTGACGAAATAAATCAGCAGAAAAGAATGGCTTTATGCCAAACCATATGTATTCCCCAACACATAAAACAAAGCTGCAAGCTTTAGTTAATCCCTTTCTCTGCTTCCTCTTCTACCTTTAATAGAGGGGCATTTGGCCCATGGAGGGGCGTTTGGCACGTGAGACTTTGGGGCTGGTGGGTCAAGCAACCAAGAGCAAACAGAATTATTTTTTAAGACAAAAGAATCCAACTCTGTGGTTTTGTTCTTGGCCCCAAACTAGCCGTTTGTAGCCCCAGAAGTGAAGGCAGCCATGAAGGCTGTCTGCCTTCTCGTATTGTGCCAGTTCTCCTGGTGGCTTGCTTTTCCTCTACAGACCTGAACTTGTAGCCTCTTTCATACATAACCGACTGAAGCTGATGGAAATTACATGTCTTATCGCTTCTTAAAGGGGGAAAAATTACATAAAATGTAGATCTAAAAGAAACGGGCAATTTTCTTGTACCACTTTCTACTTCTGTGTAAGTTACCGAGTGCCAATCACCCCGCTTCTTAAAATTCAGTTCTGTCAGGCGGGCACGTAAGCTTTCTGTGTTGTACCCAGAAAGATGGTGTTCGTGTGGAACCGTCACTCAGGCTGCGGCTGTGGAAGTGCCTACCTGGAGAGGGTTGATCAGACCGCTGGTTTTGTAGAAATATTAACGACCTCATTACACACACGCTCTGCTCTGGGGTCACCGTGGAGTCTTCTGAAGGGAAATCGAGGAGGTATTACAGTTCTGTGTGTCGAGTTCTTTATCTGCCCTCACCACTCAGGTTGTGGTGTTGTGTGTTTTAGCTGGACTAGCAAGGCGAATGCCTAAGAATTATTGAAATGGAAGCCCTGTTAAATTTTGTGTAGAAGTTAGCGGCTAGTATAGCTTCTTACCCCGTTGGGCCTTTTCTTCAGTCACTGGAGACCTTGCTGGTGGTAAACTTCTTGAATAAAAAGGCAGGAGTCCGTGAATGTTTTCATGTCATAGCTCCCCAGAGAGGTATATGATGAGAGGGACATCGGTGCCCTGACAACAACAGGGAACTAATGCCTTTGGGTGGGGAGGCGAAAAGACCAAACAAAATGGCGAAGGGAGCCTGTCCTGTTTGAATAACCATTGATTCTATTTACAGTGAGAGGCGCTAAGCTCTGACAGAGAAGGGGACGGAAAACATAGCCAACAGAGCCCAGGTCCCATCTGTGGTCGCCTCTGACGGCTGCCGTGTCTGGTAGGTAACTCTAAGATGATGGAAGGGGGAAATCTATCGGCCATGAAGCTTTTTAAGATACTAAGATCCTAGTAAAATGCTGCGTTCAGATGAGCTCCGGATTTGAGCGTTAAATATCAGCTGGAAGCAGTGGCAAGGCACCTGTGGAATCCTCCCTCCAGAAAGGAGTGGAATTTAATAGTTTGGTGGTTACAGTAACCACTATCCTGCAAGAAAAATCAATATCTACACAGTGTTAGACTCACACCAAGGGCTCCTGGAGCTGAGCCATCTTAGTGAAGAATAAGCCCAGATTCATTAGAGCAGAAAGTCAGAATGTGGTCGGAGGTCAGCATAAATACACCCTGGGCGCCATTGTCCAGAAACTGAAGATGTTCTCCTTGCAGGAGCTGAGCAGTTTTTAAAAGCATAGAATTTACAGAGCTGGAAGTGACCTTAGCAATCATTGAGTCCGGCCCCTTCTTTTTACAGATGAGGAAATACCGGCCCTGGGAGATTGCTTGGCTTGCTGCAGTCCACATAACTGATCCGGTGAGATTTTTTTTTCTCCCACCACACTCCCATCGACTCTATGAATCAAACCACAGCCCTCTCCTGAAAACACCCCTATGGAAGGAGCCACCTGAAGACTTTGAGGAACGCGAGGTCAAATCAACCTTCTCTCTCTCTCTCTCTCTCTCTCTCTCTCTCTCTCTCTCTCTCTGTCTAAGAGAAAACTATGTAATGTGTTTGCAATATTAATGATTACGTGGCAATGTAAGACAACAATGAAAGAACTGGCCACACACAGACCAGGATTACTTGGAGGTTCAGGTTGTCTTCTGCCTTAAAAACAAACTCCTACTCCTATCTAAACAGCACAGGGTTAGCCCTCCTCCACTCGGTATTGCTTCTCCTCAGCATCCTAACCAGTTCATAGGCCACCTTCACTGGAGGGGGTAGGCATGTATAAAATAAACAAGACACAAAGAATAGGCGTCTGAGCAGACATATATATCGATCATTCGCGTTTTAACTGTGATGGTACATGCCTGTAACTTCAACAGGCTGGAGGCAGAAGGATCATGAGTTTAAAGCCACCCTGGGCTATTTAATTCATTTAAAGGCAGCCTAGGTTACATAGAAAGACTGTCTCGAAGAGAAAGGACACATAAAAAAAATAACTGGAAGACAAAAGTTGCCCTACTCAATTCCTGGACAACTCAGAAGAAAAGATTTCCACTGGCAGGGATCCGTATTTGCTTCTGGAATGAAACCCAGATGAAGAGATGCACATGCCATCTCTGCATCCTTCAAAGAGAAAACCCTTATAAGTGTTCGCATAACCATAGCTCCTGAGAGCTCCTGAGAACCCGGCCGGCAAGCATGCATGCACACGCGCGCACATACACACACACACACACACACACACACACACACACACACTGCCTTATTCCAGCCTTGTCGAAATGCCAGAGCTAATATTACCTTTAAATAGATGACTACTGGGGCTGGAGAGATGGCTCAGAGGTTAAGAGCATTGCCTGCTGTTCCAAAGGTCCTGAGTTCAATTCCCAGCAACCACATGGTGGCTCGCAACCATCTGTAAGGGGGTCTGGTGCCCTCTTCAGGCCTGCGGGCATACACATAGAAAGAATATTGTATACATAATAAATAAATAAATATTTGTAAAAAAAAATAGAGGACTACTATTTTGTCACCCCCACACAAGCTATCCCATGAAATACAGAAATAAGAGCATGAGGTAGCCCACCCTTCAGCCTTCAGGACTGGAGGAAGAAAGTGGCTGCTGAAAACCAAGAATAACTGTACAATAAGAGAGAAGTTCTCATCTCAGCTCTCACTCCCTGGATGTTTCCATAGTCGTGGCTCCCAGAGAAACCCAGAGGTGTATTTTTCTCAAAAGTCGTCGTTAATCACCTGTGTGCCAGTTTGCCCCTTGCTATTTTTGTGCCACAGCATGAATGGCACATGTTGGTAACGGGCGAGAAAGCAAGTTCACATCTCAGAGCAGAAGTCCATTGTGTTTGTAATAGCTGCCATTCCAGAAGCTTCTAGGAACCGGGTACTGGTACAGAGGAAAAGAATTTCATTTTATAAAATGGTGGGAAATTCTATTAGTGATTTTTGCGGCATATTTTAAGTGGGTTATTATTAGATGGCGCTGACATTTCACATGCAGAAATATTCTCTACTTGAGAGTCAAGTGTCATTCAAACGAGGGAAAAATTATTTAGGATTTTTTTAAAAAAAAAAAAAAAGAAAGAAAAAACATCAAAGAAACCCCCTGAAAGCTTATCCTTCGGAACGCCTCCATCTGTGGAGGAGTCGTGGCTAGAGCTCACGTCTTTGATTTCTCTTTGATGCAAACACTAACGCCATGATGGAATGACCTTGGGATATGTTCGTAAGCACTGATCAGCAAAGCGAGTTCGTCACTGTGTCCACAGCTAGACCCCAGCACTGATGGCCCAAAGCCCAGCTGAAGGTCGGCATTAGTCATTCCCAAAGCATAGCGCGGAGAGCTCCCCCCTCCCACTCATCCTAGTAAAGACTCATCTTCCTGCTGTACGTCTGGATATTACCGCGGTACCCAGGATGCTTGAAGAGTTTTTCACTGCGTTCGCCTTTGCAAGTACACATTTGGCTCAGCAGAAGCTAAACATTTTAAGAGCACAGTAAGAAATAGGCCAGAAAACATCAAAGCTTTATAGCTTTTTTGAGAGAGCGTGATGGTCTTGCTGGTACAACTCCCTATGATACGGTTTAGTTGTGATAACAATGGGAACTGTATCAGTGCAAAGTGCTGATGAGACCATCAGAAAATGTAGCCAAGGGTCTTTTAAACACATTTAAGAACTGTTCTTTTGAACTGTGCCTCTTAGCCTTGAAAAACCTCTTCCAAGATTTTAAACAGGGCTTTGGCTGAACTGCCGAGTGAGAACCTGAAATTATCTTGTGCGCTGGAATCAATATCGAGCAATATTTTCTCTTTGAGAGAAATTCAATCTGACAGAAAAGAATAGGAGCAATAAGGAAACTGGGACCCTGGCGAAAACGCTTGCCTTCCAAAGATGCCGTAAAGCAGTACAAATTAGGTGATGTCACCAGAGGCAGAAAACCATAGTGACAGAATAAAATGTATCTGCGCATCAGAATACTTCATTATCACTACCACAGGTCACTAAGCTTCACAGAGTGCATCCATCAGCCTTGATGGCCATTTGTGAGCCACTGCTGGAAGCTAGATGGTGCAGTGCAGCGAGGAAATGCACCCCCCACCCCGTCACAAGGACAGCAGAGTCCAAAGGAGGCTTGGGCACAGACTTTGTTAGTCTCAAAGTGCTCTCTAGTGGCCAGATGAACACAGAATGATCGTGGGTACAAGAGTCACTTCAGGAGAGGATTCAGAATTCTAGTGTCCTGGAGAGACAAGGGAGAGACAAACCCCTGTCTCTTCATCTCCTGGATCCAAGGGAACCACCGTCAAGTAAACTCGGGGGTTTCTGAGGATGGTATTACCAGCTCATTATTAGACTCAGCTGTTCTGCACTGCATCCCAGGGATGTGTCAAAGCAGTGGGAGAGGGTCTGGGTTCGAAGGGATGCCTGAACACTGCCAGGAGGCTCGTTAGTACAAGGCAGTCCTTGGTAGAATATAAAGTCCCCTTTGTGGTGCCATCTCTCTGTGCTGTGCTCCAAGACCACTTAAGGAAAAGTGAGAACATTCAAGAAGGGTGTATTCCAGGCAGAGCCCCACACCCTGGTGCTCCTTCAATCCTCACAAGCACCGTGTTGTAGGAATCCTTTCCAGCACCCGCAACTCCCATGTTAAGGCAAGCGGTGACAAACTGCAGGTGGAGGGCCAGGGAGGAGTCACAGGAAGTGGCAGGTGCTAGGGCCATATAAATGTCAGGAGTGTCCTAAGGCCTACTGGTGTCCTGTAAAAGCTGTAAAGGTGGGAAAAAAAAAAAGACAGTGGTGTGTCCAGGAGAACTTGGATGCTGAAATGTGAGTTCCGTACGATGTTACCCCTCCTCTCTCCCCTCTCTCCCTCCCCCTCCCTCCCCCACCTCTGTGTGTGTGTGTGTGTGTGTGTGTGTGTGTGTGTGCAGGTGTCTGCCTGGGCAAGTACCCGCAGTGGCCGTAGCAGGATAGGAAATATCTTTCTCTATTGCTCTCGACCTTATTGCTTGGATACAGCATCTCAACAGCAGCTAGAAGCTGGGCATTTTTGCTAGGATACCTTGCCAGTGAGTTCTCAGGATCCACCTGACTCCTCGCAGTGCGGAGGTTACAGGTACACAAGGCCATGCTCAGCTTTCTACACGGTGGATGAGGATTCAGATTCAGGTCCTCATGTTGGCAGAGCAAGCCCTCTTACCCACCAAGATGTCTTCCCGGGCCCTCATTTTACTCATTTTATATTTATTTATTTTGTTTTTTGAGACAGGGTTCCTTTGGGCAGCCTTGACTGTCCTGGAACTTTCTCTATAAACCAGGCTCACCTCAAAGTCACAGATATCCTCCTGCCTCTGCCTCCCGAATGCTGGGATTAAAGGCATGCACCACCACCACCCAGCTGATAATTTTAGATAATTTTAGAAGGTTTAAAAAAAAACATGCCGGACTCAAGGACCTCATGAAATCAGTAATGGGGTAACCCACAAACCCAGTCGACCTTGCTGGCCATAAGCCATAGATTGCTGCAGGCCAGTGAGAAGCAAATCAAATCTGGACACCACAGCCGGGAAGTGGTGGCCTCAGCAACTGCTTTGGTCTGGGTATTTGTTCCCTCTGAAATGAATATTGAACTGTAATCCTCTAACAAGGCCTGGTGGCACGGCCCTGTAATCTCAGATTGGGGAAGTTGACTCAGGAGGATCTCAAGTTTGAGGACAGCCTGGACAACTTAGAGAAACCTTGCCTCAGAATGAGAAGTAAAGAAATGGGTGGGGGTGTAGTTCAGCAATAGAGCACCGACCTAGCATGCATGAAACCCAGATTCTAAAATTCTAAAATGCCCCAGCGCTAAAAATGAAGGAATAAAAAGAAATTAGGTTTAATCCACTAAGTTCTGTCAATGGCGTTTGGAGGTGAAGGTTTGGGAAGTAGTTAAATCTCCGTTAGATGGGACCGTGACTATGGGGTACTAGGAACCCTATGAAAGAGAGAGGAGTCTCTGTTTGTCATCTTCCTGTCTTACCATGAAATTCTTTGAGCTCCCTTGGGGTTCTGTAGAGGGCCCACTAATGAGAATGGCCTTGCCACATGCACCCATCCGGTCTTGAACTTCCCAGCCTTCACGATCACGAGCCGAATGGACTTCGATTTATCAGAAATGACTCAGGCAGCAACGCATGGACAGGCAGGCCAGCCAGACCGCCTGTGACCAATGTTCCACTGGGCATCATGGGTGCAACAGATCTGCTCCTGCCAGACACGCTAATTATTTTTTTGTAAACAGAAAAAGAAAACCAAACCTAATAATATCTGGAGTCCCGGAGTGGCCATGACAGCTCAGCGGGTTAGAAGTGTTTGTCACGCAAGCTTGATAAGGTGAGTTGGATGCCTGAGACTCCTATAAAGGTGGAAGGAAAGAAGTGACTTTATAAAGTTGTTCGCTAATCTCCACACAGGCACCATAGCACATGCATGCCTCACCCCACACATCGTATACATGTATGTATAATACAATAATAAATGATATAAAGTCATAATACCTATGACATTAGCACTCGAGAGGTGGATGAAGAAGAAACAGGGGTTCAAGGTTACCCAGAGCTATATCTATATCTATATCATCTATATCTATATCTATATCTATATCATCTATATCTATATCTATATCATCTATATCTATATCTATATCATCTATATCTATATCTATATCATCTATATCTATATCATCTATATCTATATCATCTATATCTATATCTATATCTATATCTATATCATCTATATCTATATCTATATCATCTATATCT